TATTGTCTAGCGTAATACCTAGGAACATAGTCTCGTTAACAAATTCTAACTTTTGCCCATTTAAAATTATGTCACAATCATTATTGTGTACGTTGGGCAAGCTAAATTTAATACATTTTGTTTTTTTCTCGTTAAGTGCTAAATTATTGACTGTAAACCAATTATGAACTCGATGAATGGAGCTGTTTACTTCGTCCAAATTATTAACACGTCGACCTATTCTAAAAATTAATGATGTATCATCTGCAAACAGCACCAATCTTGGCTCGGTTTTAAATAGAAATGGCAAGTCATTAACATACACTAAGAAGAGAAACGGACCCAAAATTGAACCTTGCGGTACGCCAATTTTTATCTCAGAGCCCCGTGAGTTAGAACCACCTACATGAACTCTCAGCTGCCTATCCTCTAAATATGACTTTAGTAGACGGAGTGCAGTATGTCTAATCCCGTAATGATCTAATTTCAGCAAGAGTGTTTCATGATCAACGCAATCGAACGCCTTTGAGAGGTCGCAAAAGACACCAACAGCATCCTGTGCTTCCTCCCAAGCACCGAATACCTCCTTTATCAAAGTGACACCGGCGTCAGTTGTACAACGACCTTTAGTGAAACCGTATTGTTGGTGATGGAAGATGGCATGTTTATCAAAGTGATGAAGCATCCGAGATAGCATTAACTTTTCAAACACTTTGCTAAGAACCGGTAGAACAGACACAGGCCTATAGTTGTTTGGTTCCTTAGTGTCACCATTTTTGAATAATGGAATAACTTTACTGTATTTCATTAGGTTGGGGAAGACACCGTCATCTATACTTTTATTGAAAATCAAAGCCAGATACGGCGCTAAAGTTCGGATAAGTGATCCGCAGACTTTCACCGATAGTCCCCAAAGGTCCTCAGTTGATTTAATCTTGATTTCTTTAAAAACCTTTATTATCTCTAAAGGATTAGTATAATGAAAACTAAAATCGTCTTTGCATGATTTGACATTTTCTCTAAGCAAAGTTACCGATAGTCTAGCTGATGATTCTAAATGAGCAGTTGTTGAGACAGGTATATTAGCAAAAAATGCCTCAAACTCCTGAGCTACATCTTTGCTTGACGAAATCTGTCCCCTTTCAGTGTTTAAACAAAATTCCGAATTTTTTAATCGTTTCCTACCTGTCTCATTCTGTATTATTTTCCACGTAGCCTTTATCTTGTCATCAGCTGATTTTATTTTATTACTGATGAAAAGTCGCTTTGCGGCTTTGCATACTATTCTAAATGTTTTTGAGTACAATTTTACATGTTGATGAAAAAGGGGGTCGCAATTAAATGGTTTCATGCCATAAAGTTCAAAAAGTTTATCTCTACTCTTACGAATACCTACGGTTGCCCAATCGCTAAACTGAAACTTAGAATAGATATCTTTACATTTCATTGGCAAAATAGCTTGAAATTCCCTATTTAACACCGCAAAAAATTTTTCGTATAACTTGCTCGGATTAATGACATCAAAATTTTGTACACTTAATTTAGTTGCTATTGAATTATTGAGTTTCTCTAAATTTCTATTTGTAATATGTCTAAACTTTATTTGAATTTTTTGTAGAGGCAAATAAGTGCTGTAAGTTACCACAAGACCACTGTGGTCAGAAGGTAAACTGTTTAAAATTTTTTTTTCTAAATAGTTACTGTTACTAAAAATGTTATCAATACATGTGGCAGTGGATGGTGTTATCCTAGTCGGTTCCAGAAAAACATTTTTTAAATTAAATGATCCAAACAAATTTAATAGTTCCATGCTGCCTGCATTGTTTTCCAATAAATTAATGTTAAAATCGCCACATACAAGTACTGATTTATGGCTAGAACATACCTTCTTCAAAACATCTTCCATTACTGAATCAAACACTGCAAGATTCTGATAATTAGGTGGTCTATAAACACAAACAACAACATGTTTATCCAGCTCAACACAGGACAACTCAATAGTGTGTTCAACTGACAGTGCTACAATATCTTTCCTTTCTTTGGACTTAATGCCATTTTTAACTAAAATTAAGGACCAACCATGTAACATATATTTTCTACTAAAATTACTTATTACAATATAATTATCAAAATTAAAAGTTATTAATTGGTCCTCTTTCATCCAATGTTCCGCTAAACACACAATATCAAATTGTGTTTTCTCGAGGAACATTTCTAATTCAAATAATTTAGAGGAGCAGCCCTGAATATTAATATAAAATAAGATAAGATTGTGCTGCCCCTGAGCCTGTGTAACAACATTTGATATAAGTTTTTTTTTGCCAGAATATACCTTACTACTAACATTATATATGATGGTATGTTCTGTTGTCTTAAAATCTAGTTTAAATCTATCTCTGTGTTGTTAGGTAGCCTAGACAGCACAGATTCGTCCCTAAAACTAATATCTGTTATATTTTTTATAACAGAGTTAGAGAGTTAGTAGTTTGGAACGACCTTTACTATAGGACAGACCGATAGACTGACACACACAAGTTGAACTTTTGATGTTATAATTACTCGTTTAAAAAATCGTTACCCTACACTAAGTTACTAATTTACTCCTCTTTCGTGGATGGGTTTACAAACATACAATTTCACATACACATCACACCCAGACTCAGAACAAGAATTACTTTTTGACGTTAAAAAGTGTGTAAGTATAGTGGTATTTTTGAAATAAATGATTTGACTTTTGACTTTCGAGAGAACTTTAAAAGAAGTTTCAAGGGAAGAAAGAAGATAGATAAAAATATAAAGACTACAAGAAATCACCTATGCAACTGCTTAAGTATCGCTGCTGAGCGAATGCCTTTTCCCATCCAGCCCAGATTGCGGGTGCAAGCGCAATATATACCGCGGCCTGGGTTTCTGTCGAAGAGTGTGACATCATCATCATCCCTCTCGCCTCATCAACGACGAGAGAAGCCATAAATGATGATTTGCCCCATCAAAAAATAGGTCACATAGCACTACGTTTGTGATAGGCGGATTGGCGATTTTAAATTATTTAAATAATATGGTAACCAAAAATAGGAACCAACAGAGTCAGTAGTGGATATCTTCACAGGCTATCAGCATATGCATAATCCGTTTACAAATTATACTCTATTAAAAAGCTACGAATGTTTAAAATTGGGTCTTAAAAACCCCAATAACTACCTAAAGCATAATAGCGTTTTAAAACCCAAGCTAGCAATGAGCCAACACGTAAAATTTAATAAACTTCTTCATAAAAGAGAATGTACATATTATACATTCAACTTTAATACACATACAAATAAAAGTCAAAATAAATCACAAATGCAACACTAAATTATAAAGAACAGAGCTCATTTTGATAATTAAACATCGTTTGCAAATGACCAGAGTTCAAAAGTAATCTAGTGTACATGTATACAATTACAATAATGCATCGTAACATGTTTGTCTTTGAGTGCATTTTGCATAATCCTTATCTAAGTGGAGCATCAAAAAGAGTGGACGACCTTGAAGATGAAATGTTTGAAGAACTGCTTGCAGTGCTGAGGGGCGGGAGATTGTCATTTGTTTGCAGTTTTTTTGTAAGCTTCTTGTTTCGTTTGTAATGCTTATTAGTCTTGATTTTATTAGTTCAAGCCCTCGTTGTATTGAAATACTCCGATTATGTGTTATGTAATGTCGACTGCTTGGTTGGTGCCGTGGCTAAGCGACCGGCTGTTGTACAAAGTGTCGCAGATCCGTTCCAGTCTTTTTTTTTGTTGTCTTTTCACAGTAATATAGCTTGAAAGTGTAACCAAAACGGTGATCATGACATATCCCGGATATGCAATAATCTCCAAACTTGGCTGCCATGTAGAATATGGTAACACTCATTTTTAACCCATTACTATCTGCGGGTATCATAAGCACCACCTAAGGGACTACACATTAAGCAGTGACTGGTTAGCATTAATCACTCTATTATATACAAAAACTACTAAACATCGAGTTTTTTTTAAACTTAAGTATTAAGTAAGGGAATAGCTGAATTGCCCGATTCTATCAAATCCCTAAGAATTTGGTACCGCACTTGCAACTTCTTAACATTGCAGGTCTCTATGGGTGGCGCTAATTGACGTATCTCAAAGAAAATAGCGTGGCATATCCTCTTAGAGCACTTGGGGTCTATTGAGGGTTGCTGATGTTTTATAAGAGTACGAAGCATTCTAGTAAATATGTTGTTAGTTGTGACAATAAATGATTGTACTGTTCATAAGACACAATAGCATTCCTCGTCGCATCGTTCAATAAAAATACTCGAGTAAACAAAATACTAGCCCGCTTATTGCTACGCTCCCGTACGACTTGCCTTCCTACTGGTATCTAAAGAATACAATTCAATAGGATAGCAGCTATTGAAATATATTTCTCAGGATTCCTATTTTACTTTAAATAAAAAACGGAGCAAACTTTTCTATATTTTTTCCAGTCCTTGTTCATGTGTGTTGCATTTCCTTTTTATAGCGACCAAGTTCTACAAATTGCTCGGTAAATAAAGTAAAGTATTAACGGTCGTGTTAAAAGACCTGCCGTCAATTAATCACATTATATTTTAAACTTAAACTAATTATCTAGCGCTTTTTATTCTAAACTTTTTAATACCTATCTAAGCAAACTGGATAAATATCATACTAAATACTTAACAATAATTGATAAGTAAAGTTACTCAAAATTTTACATAAAAATTATTAACATAGAAAATTTATTTTATTTATTTTATTTTAATTAATAATTGTTTTGTGCAAGCATACCTCAATCAATAACAATCAAACAATGACAAAGCAAACTGAATCTTGATTTGCTAACGTTAACTACATTCTAGAATCTACCTACTTTTAAATTCTAAAAGATCTAGTACTCTACATACATTGCTTAAAGTTAATGATTCATTTATCATAACTATCCCTCGATTATGCGCAAGAGCATATAAGCCCCTCCCACAAAGTCACGCATGCTCAGTACGGTTGTGGTTGTGAGTCGTATCGAGCAGCTCACGCGGGTCAGACGTGTCCTGACCACTCGACGAAATGAAGCTACCGGTTAGTTTCACGTGGAGTTTAGTGACATTGTTAATTAATTTTAGTAATTGGTGTATATAGGGAAACTGGTTTTGAATACGGAACTTGAGTTCTTAATTGTTTAATATTTTTATCACTGTATTGTTGGGCGGACCGCCCTGTCCTTACAAATTCAGTTATTAACTTTTGCCATTTAGTTTCCTAATTATCCTTGTGATATTTAACGTATGACACTTTTTTAATTATTCCGATTTTTTTCTAAATATTACTTAACCTGTTTAGGATTTAATTGAGTAAACTTATAAGTTTATTGAATTCACAACTACATACTTCATTGATCTATAAATGAATATCTCAGTTGTCAGAAAAGCTTTTCATCAAAATATTTTTCAATCAAACCATCCATGATAATAATATGATTTCTCAGATCTCGTTGGTAGTGCTAGCGGTGCTCAGCCATGGCTGTGCACACTCCATTAATAAGACCTCAGACACTAAACCCAAGGACCCCAACCAGACCAGCAAGAGAGAGCTTGAAGAAGGAAACTACGGGGAACGGAAAACTAAGGAAGTTCTGAATAAATTTGGTAAGTACTTAATGATAAAGGGTCGGACTATACTTATCATGTTGAAAGTACTCCCTAGTATTTTTATTAATAATCTTTACATCTGTTTATATTTTAATTTACATATTTCAACAATCTTTTCTAGCAGATAGTTTCGTAAGTCGTTATCAACTCTTATATAAAAAAGAAATTAATTAAAAAAAACCTAAAGCATTGATATTGTGCACACTCCATCCATTTTTCAACACACACAATTATCTGTTACCCAGACAATACCATAATGCTAAACCGGGTATCATTTCATAATTTAAAACAAAGACGCTTTCTTTGTCCCTATATCCCTTTGTGTGCTTAAATCTTGAAAACTACACAACGAATTTGATGCGGTTTTGTAATAGGTTAAGTGATTGAAAAGGAATATTTATCAGTATGATAGGATCCATTAAATTGTGGAAAAATGTAGTATCATGAATACACCCCTGCAAAGCTGGGGCGGGACGATAGTTTTTAGAGAAACTGAAAGCCTCCAGTTAGAAATATAATAGGGTAGCCACAACACCTAATAACTGTCAGCTAGGGTTGTCAAAACGAAATATGAATTAATTGAATAACATTGGATACACAAACAATATGAGCGCATACAATAATGACAATGATATCAGTATCGCTGTGATTTCATTGAAATATTATACAATGGCCGACACACTGTTTAATTATATTCTATTTGCATTTATTCGCTCGACTTCCGAGCTTCGGAGTGATTAATTGTGTTTGCGCTATCAATTATTTATTACTCCCGTATTAAATCTGAATTTCGTTGTTTAGTATGTTACATAATTAGTTGTATAAGTTACTGTACTACAATTGATTAAAAATTTAGAGATAGTGTATATCAATAATTAAAGGTTTTCATGAAAACAGTCGTATGTTGTACACGCAATTCTTTAAGGTTGCATTCAAAATATTCTGACAGAGATTCTTAATGTCGTGATGGCCCGAAAATAAGGTTCCTGCTTTTCATGCATGAGATTCAAAACTGGCAAGTAATTAAGGTGACTTTTTCAAGTCAAATGGACTTTCTAAGACTCTTCACTGATAGGCGGTGATAGAATACATCGTGAGGAAAACCTGAAGTAATTATTATCAATCCGCTTTGAACAAGCATGGTGATTAACGGTCACCCCTTACGTATACGTGTGAGAAGAATCCTTGTTGTACAAACAAGTCTTATTAATCGCCATTAACTGATTCAAGTTGTACTATTCTATACTGTGAAACACAGATCATGGTAAAACTTTCCGCTTCTAATCACTAGGTAGGTTAAAGTAACTTACATATATACAACACTGGCTACCTGCCCCGGCTTGCTGATTTTAAATTTCTCCACTATTTAATTGATATTGTAATAAAGATATTTAAAAATCCGCATCAAAATGCGTTGCGTAGTTTTAAGATTTAGGCGTACATAAGCATATAGGGACAGAGAAAGCGATTTTTTTATTTAGACTACGAGTATGTAGTGATAAAACAAGGAAAGGCTAGTCCTGCAAATCTGTAATTTGACTTATAGACTACTTACTTAGAGAATATAATAGCTAAAGACATGCTATCGGTATGTGTATATATTAAATATTGAATGTTATTTACAGCTGCCAATGAAGCACCAGCGAAACCAGAATACGAAAAGAATCTAAAGGAGATTATCGCAGAACAGTCCCCGGAACAAGTGAGTAGATTTATTTATTTAGTTATTTTTTCAACTCAAGTAAAAAAAAGGACACACAATTTTTAAAAGCGATCCTTTTTACTTTTTTTTTAATAGGTAACTTTTGGTTCCAGTATATCTAAGTAACAGTCTTGTCGCATTTTTTTCAAGTTTTAGAAATGTTAATATTTGATAGCTATGTATATTTTAGCAGGAATTTTTATGCTATGTTATATAAAAAAATACGGCTTTTCAAAACACACTCTTTTCGTACAACCTTGATACATTTAGATGTAAGGTCATATATTTCCCGGCGGACACCGATCGAACAATATTAAGGAAGTAATCTTGAACATCTTGACATCCGATAAAGCAATAAAAGTTGTTGAAAGCGTAACATCATGCGAACTATTCATAAGGAAACTTTTCAAAAATGTGTGCTCAACAAAATGGCGAGCCAAGGTTTTTTATAGCCGCTCAAGTGCGGCCAAGTTTTATATTAAATTTCTTTGAACTTGGCGGTGGGGCCGCTGAGGTCGTGTCGCCCTCAGCCCTCTGAGGTCAGGACGAGTGTGTGGGTGTTGTGGACTTGTTCTGTTTCGGAAATCGGATCATAATCACTCGCTGGCTCCTTGCGGATATGAAACATCAACTACTTATATGTATTGAAATTTCAAACAGAAAAGTCGTCAGAAACTTTGACACAATTTCCAATGTAAATTTGTAAATTGGCTACGTTCAGCAACAATATTGACTGCACAGCTGGCGCAGTGGCTGGGCAAATAGGCTGCGGACTATCGTGTCGCGGTTTCGATTCCCGGAACAACTCTTTGTGTGATCCACAAATTATTGTTTCAGGCCTGGGTGTGATGTGTATGTCAAATTAAATGTTTGTAAACGCGCCCACGACACAGGAGAAAATCCTAGTATGGGACAACTTAATATTTTTTTAAACAGAAAAAATATAATTAATATCTTTCTTAGATGAGATTAATTTCAAATTAATTTTGTCAATAATAAATCACCTTAAAGTTTGTATACCAAAAAATTGTAATTTGATGCAAATTGGACCTTGGGTTTGCGTCAATACTTGTGTGTAATAATAACGTATTGACTGACGGATGGTCATTAACAGAAATTTTGACATACATTCATATAATTAGCGTTGACCCGATGAACTGACTGGTTGACCAACAGTTACTGCTGAATCATTTTTTGGGAAATAAGCTTCGTGATTGCCTTGCTCACATTAATATCATAGAGATTTTTAATTATCTTTAAATGTTAGTCATGTACAGATAAAATATGTTAGATTATATGAGACGCATTGATCTACACAAAAAGAAAAAAAATTATACAAAAAATAATTCTGAATTTATTGATATATTTTCTTTAAGAATTGAAAAGAGATTCGATAACCAATTTCTGATACAGTTTCTTTGGTCTTCTAAAACATCAATTGAAATTTTGCTTGAAACCAAATGAAATGCGGAGCTTCAACTCATATTATTATAAAACTCTTTGAAATACCAATTCCCTTATTGTAAATCAATTATGCCTAGGTATTAGTTCGGTAAAGGGATAGAATTAAATTGTCGTACTAGGGGAATTAATTACGTTTCTAATTTATGTATGTAGTAGGGGCAATGTGTCCTCTCAGAGGGACCCCCGTCTAGATGGGACCCTCCTCCCTCGTACAGGTACAGGGCCCATATAGATACGCCCTCAATTACTCCGCCGATTGTAAATTGAACGATTTATCCATCTAACTTGACCTGACATGGATTCCTACTTAGAAAATTACTAGGTTGAATGTGTACTTAATAGTATATCTAGACTTCTTCAAATCCATTTAGAAGATAATTTTCATTTCAAAAATATTAATATAAATTTACAAAAACAACAGTTTTAAACAAAAGAAATACCCAAAATAATACTTAAAACTTTTATTTTTCTCAGAATCGAAGTCTAATCATTTATTTCAGTTACAATTTTATGCACTTTTGAATGCCAATCTAAGATTTAAAGATAAAGATTGCCAGTCAGACGGTCAGTCCTTTAGTGGAGCTATTTGTTTGTTCCAAAGTGTAGATTCCTATAGATCTTATGCACGATCCAATACACTTGTGTTGTTGATCAAATAAAATAAAAAAATGCAGACATAATCTTAATATACATACATAATATACAACAACTGATAATCGCTACATGCTTACAACATGATATCTGTACTGTTGACTAACACACGCTGTTGACACACACTAGCCACTTTTTCGTCAACTGAGAACACCTGCAATTATTCCTTACTTTTTTTCATAATTTCATTGAATTACTGACATTCCACACCATGCAGAACTATGTATAGAATCATCGCCATAACGTTGCTATAGAATTCTCCAAGACTAAGACATTGTACTCAATCTACAGCGTGTAGTTTTGCGGGCTCAATTCCCGCATGGACCAAAGCCGTGTTATCCAGAAATTGTTGTTTCGAGTGGGGGTGTAATGTGTGTATTAAATTCGATATCTACAAACGCACCTAAGACAGGCAATTCAGTTATTTGTTGTAGTAAAGTAGAAGAAAAAACTTCTGTTAAGCCTCTGTTTTTTTTTACTTAAAAACCAGAAAGGTCTATAGTTGTCTTTTATTAAGTGTATTATAATTTGTTTATTCTATTCTATAATATTGTTTAACTAGTGACGCCATTCCCTGAGAACCAGGCCAATGTTGGTGACGTACAGTCCCACCATTGTACGGTTATAATGTAATTAGCAAAAAAATAAAACTCGCACTAAGTATTATTGTCTAATATAACCTGGTCGTTAAATTAAAGGAAAGATCACACAAAACGAAACCATAATAAACTGGTTTTTTATGGGTTCATGTCAACCTTCCTCTATGTTTCTTGATCCTTCAATCGTGGTATCAAATACTGCTTCTTTGTTTTTAATTTTTCTCATGTTCCATTGTAAAGGGGCCAAGTCATGTCGGACACTGAAGAAACTGTTACAGTTACTGAGAATTTTATATTTTTTGTGATAGGACGGCAAACACGATGGTAAGCAATCGCCAAATAAGCAGCGCCGCCCATGGATAATCGCAACAACGGAGGAATTATGAGAGTGTTGCCGATCATTTGGGGATAAGGGCTTTGGGATTGAGGGATTGGGGAAAGATTGAGCCTCCAAAAACCTCACGGCGGCACACGGCGACGATTTCACCTAAAATGTGGACTTGAATGACATGAATTCGCCAGCTATATAACAAGGATTGACATTCTTGAGTTATGTTTCTTTGGATTTTTTTTTAAAAAAACGTTGCCTCTCTTTAGGATTTTCTCCTGTGTTGTGGGTGCGTTTACAAACATACAATGTCACATTCACATGACACCCAGACCCGAAACAACAATTTGTGGATCACACAAAGTGTTGTTCCGTGCGGGAATCGAACCCGCGACACGTTGCACGGCAGCCAGTTGTCCAGCCACCGCACCAACCGCAGTCTAAGTGCAGGTTTAACCTTAACATCTTATAAATCGAAGTTTGCTTTGGAAATTACAATCACCATTTACTGCTATAACCTTCTCTTTGCATACAAATACAAAATCAATGCCTCCAATCAATTAAAATGTCAAGCTACTAAAAAGTTGTTCTAAATGAAATAGTACAACTTCATAATGATCAATCTTATATTGATCCCTTATTAATATTGACTGACATATTATATCACACGTCTATCACAGTACAATAACTTGACTGCTAATTATATGACTATTTGCAAGATAAACTGAATTGACAATACTTTGCTTAATACGATAGCAATAGCAAGCAATAGCAAGTGTTACGTAATAGGACTAGGCCAAGGTCGTAACAGTGGGAAGCTAAAGCCGCGTTCACTCGCACTAGCTTAGATGTTAAGAATGATAAAAGAAAGCAAGAGCGTTAGTTAAAAAATTTCAAATGTATGCCTTAACTTATAAAATTAAGAACATTCAATTTTTTGTAGTAACTTTTAGCGATCATAGTTAAACATTCTATAATTTACCAAAATGTCTTTTTTGCTAGCAAAACTTAATAAAGAAAAGATACTTGCGTCTTATTTTTGTGTAAATAATGCTATGTGAATTAACTGAAATCCAAACTTCCAAACTAATATTATAAATGCGAATGTAACTCTGTCTGTCTGGCGTTTCTTCACGCCTAAACTACTGAACCGATTTGTGTGAAATTTAGTACAGACATAGTTTAAAACTCGAGAAAGACATAGGATAGTTTTTAAACCAAAAATCTGCAAAACTCACGCGGCCAAAGTTGCGGGCAATAGCTAGTGTATAATATGTTGATAGATAGAAAATAAAAACAAGGAAGTCGAGGCCTAAAACAGTTTACTTAACACCATTCTTATAAAGAAATCAAAAAATATTGCTTAGAATAGTTTTGCAAGTTTTTTTTAAACCGGATATAACATTATCTCAAATATTTACATATGTAAATACACAAACATTAAATTAAATATAACCGTAGCTTGGAAAACATATTTATATAACGGACGTAACTAAAATAGCATATTATCCAATCTTTAATTAAAAGTACTACTCATAAAACTAGCACTTTATTAGAGCTTTTACTCGACCAATCTAAACACAGCTCCAAGATGGCGGATGATAACAAAACGCTTGCAATGATCGCCTTTCTACAATCGCTTTCAGAGATTAACAACCCGAATTGGATTACAACATAATCTGGATTATCTAGCTCGTTGTCAAACCACTTGATTACTTTGTAAAGTTGTTTTTTAATAAAACTAATTACATCCTTTTGCGAAATATTGGTCAGTCATGTAATGGAGATTGGTTAGTGTGACTTTTTTCACTTGTTATTATAAATTATGATTATTGTGATTGCTATTGCTATTCAATTACGTAATAAGACAGTGTTGAGGTGTGACGTAATGGTTCATGTTCGTTTGTACTCAGTTGGGACGAGTTGGCATTATGTCTCCGTATTGTCGATACTTTTAA